CATGTTCTTAATCAGAAGTAGCAATTTACCTCTCTTATTTCAGTCAAAAGTACATAGAAACCATATATTTTTTGAATCAGTATGAAAAACCTATGATTTGACGCCAGTAGTAACTTTGAGTAATCCGGAAGTGATTTCTTATCAATGATTTTAAAATTCAATGGTGGAAAGACCTTCGATTGAGCACTGAACAATTTGTTTTTAATTGAAACAATGTTTATAATAGCAATTGTTTTATTTGTCTTGACGAATTGGTGGAACGGAAGATGTACAAACAAACCAAAAACACAATCAGAGTACTAACTTACTATTTCCTCAGATGAACCTACGATCCGATGGCTGACTAATAACTCATACAAATTTCTATCTCCTTGTAGACTACAAGAAGAAACGTGCAGTTTTTTCTCAAGTCGACTAGAGTGAACTTGCAGTAGTTTTCTCAAGTCGAGTGCCAAATATTTCAGCCACATTTAACACGATAACATCATGAACATACTACATGTAGTATTTAACATTAAATCAATTTTCTAGGTATTGTGAGTGCAGAGGATCGAAAGGGAAAACTAAAACACATAAAATGTGTTATTATCGGTTTTCTTAACACTTCGCAGCGTAAAGCTTTCTTAATTTCAACATCGTCTTTTTTGTTCCCTGAATTTTTAAACAATAGTTCTCATTTCGAAAGCAAGACCACAATTATTTTCTTACTTGTGTCAAAATCCTACAAACTGTATCAATGAATACCATATTAAATTTATGTATTTAATATAATGTTTATAATAGCATTTGTTCAACATAACACAAAAGGATTAACAGGCATAGACATCTATTGGCTTTTTGAGATATTGAAATTCAAAGTCGATCGGAAACATTGTTTAGTTTGGTCGAATTTATAAATTGGAATACATGATTGCTAAAATTCAGGGGCGTAGGAGCTGGGGCAAAAACACTCGACTGCACGGAAATATATATGTGGTTTTTTTTTATGATTTTACAAAGTCTTATTATTTAAGTTGCGTCATTAATATCCAATAAACTGAGTCTTTTTTTTTTTTTTTTTTTGGGGGGGGGGGTCTATTTGAATTAGTTAAATTTAGGGAAAACATCATATACAAAGAGGCTGAAGATACCATTTGCAACAATCAAAACTCATAAGACGAATAGAAACTGACTACGCCATTACATAATTTGGCAAATTACAAGTATTTAATATACAAAATTTGGTAACATATAATTTTACTTTAGCATTTACAAAAACATTTATAATTTATAATTTTGTATCACAATGACTTCAGAATAGCAAAATTTAGGATTCCAATATAGAAACATGTTAAAACATTTTGGAAAGAGTATACGATAATCATGATAATTCTGTTTCCTGGGAGTACTGCTAAAACATAATGTTGACGGACGTAAATTTGTACATCAATGGCAAAATGAATCGATATCCTAAAACCACGACTAATGACATGTATAACTAAATATATCCCATAGCATTACTTCGGATTTCATCCAACGTAAAAATAATGTGGTGGAGTTAAACATGTTTGCAAGCGTAACTTGGGATGTGGTGTAACTGCACAACATAAGGACAGACTGTAAGAATCAGTTTAAATTGGCTTGACACATCAGATCGACAGGACAAACAAGACAAAAACAAATCATTAAAGACAAAAGACACAAAATACCGATACCAGCAAATTACAACAAATGAGTAAATCATGTTTTTCCAGAGTGTTTTGTGAATACCATTACAAATTTAGAGAATCGAGGAAATATTTTGCCGCATGCTTGGCTACAAAGGGCAAAACGCGAACTTATCCACGAACACAGGTTGTTTTACAGTTTTCACATTGAAAGAACCTTTAATATACCGTAATGTAGCTTTTTTAAAATTAATGTAAAATGTTACAAATTGAATTTAAATGCACAATGATTTCTGTTGTTGCCTTTTACTACAGACTAAATATTAAGTCTTATCCACAAAAGTATTTGGCAGTTCAAAGTATGCACGACTTTAATAAATCCCCTTTTTAGAGTTACATGTAATCAATATTTTCCAGTGGTTTTGTTTGAAAAGATGCAGAGTTACCTCTCTTTCTATATCTACTACGATAAAACAGTGCATGTGTCATCTGACTCGTCTTAAGGTAAATTTATAAATAGATTGAAGTATTTCAATTTATTACAATTTTGGGTATGGCGTTAGTCTAGTATCCAAATCAAAATGCCGCTCAAGGTTTACTTTGACTGCTGTACCCATATTTTGACTATTTTATTTATAATGTCTGTTTTGTTCACGCATCGTTGTAAATATAACGAGGTTTGATAAGACTGTCGTACAGGTGAGAGGTTTGGCGCTATAAAACCAGGTTCAATCCACCATTTTCTACATTTGAAAATGCCTGTACCAAGTCAGGAATATGACAGTTGTTGTCCATTCGTTTGATGTGTTTTGTCATTTGATTTTGCCATGTGATTAGGGACTTTCCGATTGAATTTTCCTCGGAGTTCAGTATTTTTGTGATTTTACTTTTTTCTACATATATCTGAAGCTTAAATCTGGTTGTTATTTTCTGATTCGTATAGTTCACTATTAAAATAAGACTTATTACGATGTCGTCTTAATGGAGATATTAAATAGTTTCCAGTAGCCACGTTTCTTTGTTGTTAGGTTGTGCATAATTTCAAGCTCACGCAACAGCTGATGATTGACCAAATATATAATTAGATTGTATTTATCTATTTAAATAAGAGAGTTGAAACGAGGTCAAATCCTCATGTTTTACTATATATAATAATACAACTTTTTTTTTGTTGAATCACTAAAATTTTACTTGAAATGGATTTTGCAAATCTCCCGATAAATTAAACTTGGGTTTAAATATCTTTGTGATATCATTTACCATTTATTTTAAATTGGAGTTACAAATTGTGAATTTCTATATTGTTTGAATTAAAAACCCGAGAATTTCACTTCCTTACAATTTAAAGTGCAAGGATGTCCGTGTCGAAGGCCGTACTTTGACCTATAATTGTTTACTTTTTAAACATTGTGACTTGGATGGATAGTTGTCTTATTGGCACTCATACCATATCTTCATGGCAAATTCTATATTACCTTTCACGGAGACGCTTGATTATTTATGCGCTTTACTAAATAGAGATGACTGTTATGTACAAGACGTCATAGTTTATAACTTTGAATTTGAAATTTAACAGACAGTAATAACAGAACATTAAGTATAACAAAGTAAATAACACTTAACTGAAAGGGTGATAGAGCAGATTAATACCCCTCGAAAAAGCATTGTCAACCTTGGCTTCGCCGCGGTTAACAATGTTTTCTCGGGGTAACAATCTGCTCTATCACCCTCTAAGCTATATGTTATTTATATAATATTATATATCGATGAGATTTTAATTTCCCTATACCAATTATATTGAATCAAAACAATGGTTTCTTATATTAATATTTATCTTACTGCAATTACAAGTTTATAGTAAAATACAACTTCCTATTCAAATACGGGATAAAGGCGGCCCCTTTTGACTGCCAATAGAAATGAGCTATGTTGATAAGACAGAAAATTAGTCCTTGTATCAGGCCGCTTATGGACACCTCAAAGCGGTTTCGTAATGTTTAATAACGTGCATAGAACGTAACACTACTAATACATGCCTTATTCTGACTGGACAACTAGATTTCAAATACAACAAACTTGGTCGAAAAGTCCTAGTAATACTACTTTCATTCGCCAAAGAAAATGACAGTAAATCTTGATGACTTTTATATCTATATAGATGATCTATTTATAAATCTATTTGAAACTTTATACCAAAAACACCCTATCAATTATACAAACATTCTGTTAAATTCCATTTTACATCTAAAATGACAATTTCCTAAACTGGTCGCTTCATGGAGAATGTAAAATAGGATGACATCAAATATTATTTTATAGGTCTAATTCCTGTAGGTGTCGAACTAAATAATTTTGTAATCTCAATAATCTAAACATGGGTTTTCGTTTCAAATAATATACTTCTCTACCATGAAAACAAGTAGGACAGAGACAATCCACGTTTTAAAATGTTTATAGTTTAGAGAATCAAAGAGAGACTGATACTAAACCCTAACGGAAGGGATTGTACTTGATTTTCATATGATGAAGACATAATCTTTCAATCAGTTTTATTGAGGGTTGGAGCTGGCATGTCAGTAACTGCTAGTAGTCCATTGTTAATTTATGTATTATTGTCATTTTGCTAAGTTTCCTTTGTCACCTATTCTGACATCGGACTCAGACTTCTTTTAAACTGAGTTTTACTCTGTGTATTGCTGTGTGTTTGTTTATTCTACATTGGCTATAGGTATAGGGGGAGGGTTGAGATCTCACAAAGTCAAGAGACTATGGCCTTTATAAGTCATGTATGTTTTTTTTTTTTAATTTTAGTTCATTTATATGTTTCGGAGTTGAGTGTGATGTCCATTTTCACTGAACTAGTACACTCTTTATTAAGGGGCTAGCTGAAGTACGCCTCCGGGTGCGGGATTTTCTCGCTGTGTTGAAGACTCATTGGTAGCCTTCTTATCTTTGGTTGGGTTGTTGTCTCTTTGACACATTCCCCATTTCCATTCTCAATTTTATGTTTCACCCACCTGCATCATACATGGTCACTCTCCTAATACTTTTCATGACAAATCTATTTTAATTGATCCTGTATAGCTAATAATGTTTTCTATTTAGTTCCATATATGAAATGTAGTCTGAACAGATACAACATGTAAATAGGACAGGGTTGCACAAACATCAATTAAATTTAAAAGTCACCTTCATTGTCATGTGTGCCATCCAGTCCATGTTTCTTAAACAAATTTTAAAAAAAAGACAAACAGTACATTTAGCGATTTTTGGTTATTATTTTTCAAATTTGTTAACTGCGACTTAAAAATGTGTCCAATCAAATGAAAGCACAACCTGACTTTGATATATTTAAAAGAAGATGTTGCGTTAGCCGAGCAATATTCTGGTTTACACTGAAGACAACAAATGTAAGTATTTGATTAAGATCATTTTGAATGTTGAAATATTCATTTCATTCGCAATGCTGTAATCGATATTTAATTGAATTAATCTCGTCCGACATCGTTCGTGTTATTTTAAGTTAAATAAAGTTAAATATCATGTATCTATATATCATTTAGTGTATTCGGTGCTCACGGATCGTTCAAGAGTTCTTTCAACGTTTGCAGATTGGCGTCTTCTTGGTAGAGTCGTAGGAAATTGTTAACCTTTGAAAGTTGACTCCACGATAAATATTTAGTTAGATCTGTAATTGACTATTGTTATAGTGGGAGGTTTGGTCCTCCGTATATTCTGGTTCATCCAAGGTTGGCAAAGTATATATCCGTGCAGGAAAACCTTTGAGGGCTGAGCAATATCTCTAGAAATTGGTTAAACTGTGCAGTAAAGGGGAGTATAGGGCAGTAAGAATTTTCACAGGTTTTATTTAAACAAATCAGTGTTTGTAAATAGTGTATTTAAGTGTAGGGAATTTAGTTAATCGTTAAATTAGATTCAAAATCTGACGTGAACTTCACGCGAATTAACATCAAACGAACATAAACGTGAAACTCACGTGAACTGATTTCATGTAAGGAAATTCACGTGAAATTCATATGATTTTTTTTTCACATGAAATCAACGTGAATTTCACCTCCAATGAGCTTAAACGTGGACCGCACGTAAACAGATTTTCCGTGAAAATCACATTAACTTTTTTCACGTAAAATTCACGTGAATTTTCAATTTTTTTCGAAAAACATCTTTATCTTCAAATTTAATTAAAAGCATGGAAATTTAGGAGAATAATCTATAGATCTATCCACAAAAACTATTCTTGTTTTTCCATGTTTGTATAAGAGTTGCTTGACCAATATCAATTTGATAAACTATATAATAAGTTTAAAAAAATGAACTTATGAATTCAAATGTTTGTGTTCTTATATATCTTTGTAAGACCTAAATTTTCTTAAAAATTTCTGCCAATATTCCTTATTGCTAAACAACGCAAGTAAAACCCGAGTTTTCCCCACTTAGTTTAACCCGTTGCGTACATTTGAAAAGTATCTGTACAGGAATAAGTCAGGAATTCCACAGTTTCAAATTATACCAATAATGAATGTCTGTGGATATTTTATACTAAAATTTACCAGTTGGATATAAATAAAGGTTCGTCCATTTGTTATTCCACATGTTAATATCATCAGTCTGTTTTTTAGTGTCCCGTATCACATAAACAACTATGAAGGTAGTACTAGTATTTGGACTGTTTTTGGGAACAACTTTGTGTAAGTATAATAACGCCTGTTTACAAATTTGTCGTAACAATGTTGTCTTTTACCGAACATACAAATCTATATTCATAGAACGCGAAATACACCCTAGATGTTTATATTTGTTCTTACTTGACATAGACTGTTATCACATTTCTGTTTTATTCAAAATCTTCTCATTTCTTTTCCCTTAGTATTAAAGTAGTTTATATAATTTATTTTGCCTATGTATCGTGTGTATTGTTGAATTACTGTTGCTTCAACATTTGTTTATGTATATTTATGAGTAATTAGTAATCATATGTTGAGTACTAGCTTGCATTATAAAGTGAACAAAATGTTAACCTATAAGAGCCTTTCAACCAAAAAAGACATAGATTTTAATGTCGATAAATACAGGTTATTGTTGTTGGGAAGCTAGTGATCTTGTTGTAGTCTAACACGGACATGTATCAGCATTAAGGTACAGACCATTCATCTTTTGTGAGTATTTGAAGAAATATTTCAATTAGAATGAGGCGCCATATTAACATGATTAAATATCTGTATCTCCAAAATATAAAAAAATATAATACCCAACCTTCGATAAAAGCACTGTTTTATTACGAAATGCTATCTTAATTTTAAGCGTACATGAAAGTAGCAAAATAACGTTCAGCATAACATTCTGTATTTGAAGAGTGAATACTATTGGAGATTTAGAGCAAACAACTCTTATATCAAAGCCATTTTACTCCTTGAAAGGTCGAGATGAATCACTAGATATTGAATAGGTTTTTTTTTGTTTGTTTAATTTGCAATTCAGAATTGCATGTGTATCACTATTAAATTTGGAACTGTTAATCATGTCGGAGCTTACCATAAGTTTTGATGGGGTTCGTGCTAATCTTTTGTTACCTGCCTATTTTCTTTTTGACGGTTGTCTCTAAGTAATCTTTTATTAAGCCATGGTGTCTGTTTTTCTTCGACTTGTGTTTTTAATGGCCCCTAGTCTCTTCTTCCTTTTTTAGCATTCGGAATGTTTGATAATAACTCAATTGTCATTAAGGTCAAGTTACAGTATGTTGTTGAAACATAAATTTCCGTTTTAATGATGTAAAATAATAATAGGGTCACCGACTTCGTGTTTACGGTATACATCATTGAAAGTGGTTGTATTAGTGAAAAATACCACAAAATGTCAACATAATCGTACCGTCATCGCCTTGCAGGCCGTAAAACGTTAGTTTTTGACGTTTTTCACTACCAACTATGTACCAGATTGATTATTAGACAAAAAACGAAGACTGTGACCATATGATTATTTTATATCATTAAAACGGAAATTTATGAATCAACAACATAGTTTTTAAGAAAAATCTATGTATTAGAAATAAGAGATTTGATGATTGTAAGTCAAATTTAAACAGGTTTTCTCCTATTTTATGTGCTTTCTATACAAATGTTCCCCTATCTTGAAAGAATTCAATCAGTAATATTTCAGATAATAAAAGAGATAAATGCATTATTTTTTCGATTTTCAGTTATAAGTCAACGAGCCAAGGTTGTATGCAAAATTTTAGCAAAATCTGTGATGTAGCCCACTCACTGTTCCTTGACCTTAAATTAAATGCCTTTTCTGTGCATGTTGCAATAGAATATTACTAACATAAATTAAAATTAGAAAAATAATCATAGTGACTATTAAGATAGTTGAATTTTACACTAATATGGTATTGTTTTCATTATTGAATCTACAGTATTTATCAGTCTCTGTCACTTTAATTTGTAGAATGCATATCATTAGATCCAATGATTACAGTTTATTTAATATTTACCAAAAAAATTCACAATTTTGTAAAATACAGTCATGACAATTTTTTTATTTACTCAATAATGTTTTTATCTTTTTTTTTTTCAAGCATTTTTGTACCCATGTTGTGTAAAACAATCATTAATCAATCAAATATTTTTTTATCAGGCTGTATTGACGATCAGTATGAATGTTTAGACGGACAATGTATCGACTCGGATTATCAGTGTGATAACTGGATTGATTGCAGTAGCGGAGAAGACGACATGGGATGTTCTGGTAATAACAGCGTAACCTTTTCTATTCCAAAAATATATGTTTTTTTCTTATAGATGGAATACAATTTGACGATATGTTTTTTACATCCATATATTCCTACATGGTTTCTAAACAATAAGATGAATGTCAGAGGAACATTCAAATTCGGAAGTTTGAAAAGACACCGAAACACATCCTACCATGAACAAAGTACAATTAATATCAAAATCATTTGCGCATGCCATAAACTCTAAAATTGCCAAACAAGACTCCAATCTCAAACCAGAGAGTTTACCTGGTATTCTTAACGGGTAAGCAATTCTTGCGTAATCCATTAGGTTGCGATAGTTCAAAATGAAAAACACACTTTATAAATTTCGTGCGTCCCTAGCGCTTTTCCTTTTTTACCTAATTTGTTACACTGTAGATAGAACATGTCATATATGATTTAATACATAAAATACCATAGGCTAGATTAACAATCACTGTTAAAAGAATATATTAAATCATCTATACCATGTTCTACTGCTTAAGCTATGTATCAAATCACTGAAGAAATTTTCTATCTGCAACACCTTTTCTATTAAATTGTAACTCAGGTCAAAAGTTAGTTAGTTGTATAGCCTTTATTGATATACTGATGACATTTGGCATTTATGAAGCTGCAAAAGCGTTTTGAATTTTACAAACACTTTCATAACATCTACAGGTTGTGGAAGTAATCAGTTTTCCTGCGCTAATGACGATAAATGTATTTCCTGGCATTGGGTGTGCGATGGTGATGATGACTGTGGTGATGGCTCGGACGAACGTGGGTGCCACAATCTTTGTTGGAATATCTATAGTAAGTAAAAGTATTTTCCTGATGTTCTTGTTGAAGCTGTCTGCAATTCAGAAAAATATATATCACAATTGATTTATACCTAATATGGCAAATGAGTCGTTTAACTTATATGTTTTAGCCTTCGACAAAAAAAATATCCTGGTAATTATTAAACAATTTGAGAAAATGTTAATTTAGAGATGATTTCATTAAGGACATATAAGTAATTTTAATGATTTTTTTATATTTCTGTACTTGCCATGCTTGCTGTATCAAAGTTTTTGACTGATAACGGAATGCAGTTTACTGGGTTACGTGAAAAGGAAATACATGTACCGTTCAAATTACCAGTAGTTGACTTCAAACATAGAAGACAATAACCGAAAACTTAAACAGAAAAATGTAACAACTGTATACACTGAAAAAAAACTTAACAAAGAGAAAAAAGACCGATTCAATCTACATTTGATTACATAGACATGCGTACAGCTGTCAATAAATGACGTCGTAGAAAAATTGGACTATCAAAATCAAGCGCTCCAGGAGAATATATTTATATGTTTTGCATAAGTATACACCTTTATTGGCCGTTTCCTAAAGGAACTTCTTTATAAAAAATAATGATTCGCTAATAGTACACCGAATTAAAGAAAAAGGAACATAATCATATGCCCTTCAATTGAATAAACTGCATTTTGTTTTAAAATGTTTTTTACTAATGGCCTTACTCATAATTATACTGCTGTTGAAACACTTCCTGTTGTTTTGATAGAAAATAAACTATTTTATGTTTGTGTTACCATTTTAATTGCTATATTGTAATTAGTTTCACCTTTTGTTTTGGCCAGTAAACTGTTGAAAGGTTCTGCACCCTTATCTCGCTCCCTATTCGATGCCATCATACCAAAAAAGTTTGTTTTTTTCTGACATTAACATAATTTGTTATTTTATTTACATACAGACCAAAGCGGCAGACGCAGTATTACAAGTACTAGTGCTGACAAAGTAGTATCCAGGGGTGTCGACAAAGGAGGTAAAGTTAAAGCTGCTGGAACAAACCTGTACAAAAAGAAAAACGAAGCAGACAAAATAGCTCATAAACTTGAAAAGCTCAGGTTGCTTAGGAAGGGAAAAGGTGGAAAATAAAAATGGAAACGGAAGACTATGCTCGCAAACAATTGGAATCGTCCATGGACTATGATATTAACGTTTGTTTTTTAAACAATCATTATTAATATTCTTTAATGTTATATAATCATGCATGTATGTCATTTAAACGCTTAACTTTGTATTTATATAATTTTAAGCTATAAATCATTTGATAATATCTTCCAAAGTGTTGGACATCAATTAATGACAATATATGTTCATATTTTACACTTTAAATCAAGATGAAATATATAAAAGGTAGACAAATGCTCTACGTTCTTTGATATAACGACCAAAATGTTAATCAATGGCGATTTAAATATTAAGTTAGAGCCTTACTGATAGTACATGATACACTGGTGTTATTGCATTTAACATAAACATAGCTCATTCTAACTTCTATCTTGTCTGAATAAAAAAAATTCTTGCAAATGAATTTTTCTTTTTAAATATGATTTATTACATCGTCATAATTTATAGTTCAACATCCAGTGGTTAGTATTATATGTATAGCAATGCGGATAACATAAAAATATCAGGACTCCGACACTGAGCCTTATTTTCTTCATCCTTGCTCTTACAGTATGAGAAAACCAATTCGTCATACATTATCGTACAACTGTCTCGTGGATGACCAATTTCAATTTGATTCTTCCCTACTATATTGCGTGTTTAGCGCAGAAACAGTTATTGACAATTTTTATCAGTCTGCTCTCACTCCACCGTGGATCGAACCAACGACTTCCGGTATGTAGGATGGTAGGACCACCAAGTTGACTCAATTATATTTGTATAAGTATATATATATATGAATTTGTGACTATTGCAATGTTTCTCGGTGTCTTAAAACCAAAATATGTCATTACTATCAGATGTAACTGAAATGTTGAATTATACAACAAAATTAGCCATAGAAATTTACCATTTTCAATTATAAAGTCTCGAAATGTTGTTGTATACGTTGAGAGTCTTAAGATACGTAATGAATATCTTCCTATTCAACGTTTGTATTATGTTTTTTTGTTTTTGTTTTTCAAATTTGTCATTGAGCATAACTGACGAGACGTGTGTTGTCAAAATGAACATAGAGCGCAGTAAAATTGGTACTGTTATTAGTACCGGGGTATCTATTAATCGATACGTCTGCTTTTGAACTTTCAAATAAATAAGGTTGATAATTTGGTACTCCAGACACGCGTTTCGCTTTCATCAGACTCATCAGTGAGTGATGATAGAATGAAAACAGTTAAAAAAGCAAAGCAATTACAATGTTAAAGAGCATTGAAACCCAAATATTTCCAAAAAATTGTGCCAAATCTTTCTAAACCCATCTTGGATAAAAAAATCTTCGTGTTCCTAATATCAATAAAATTGGCGAATATTTTATTTATAGAGAATGACAACATCTATGATATTTCATGGAAGCACAGAAGAGAAGAATAATTGGCCGGTGGTTATTTCGGGGACGAAACGTCCCCCAGCAGTGATCTCTACCCATTGGTTGTAAAAACTAATTAAAGAAATCTGGCTTTCAATTTGATTCTCTAACCTTGGCACTCCAAATGCGTGTTTTGTCCAGAGACAACTCATCAGTGGGGTTCAAATTAAAACAGTTGGACAGCTAAATCAATTACAAAGTTGAACAGTATTGAAAAAAAATCCCTCAAATTGAGCAAATTCTGGTTACGGACATCTGTGCCTGTGTGTACAAAAACCTAAGTGTTTCGAATGAATAAACAAAATATTTAATGACTACACTTATTGCATGTCAGTACACAAGTGCCGATAAGTTGGCTTGTGATACCATGGGGAACAAAAAACCCACCGATAGGACCTAGACCCAGTAGTTGATAGAACTTTCAAAGATATGTGGCTTTTAATTGTGTACACCCGACGTGCGTGTTGTACAAGGCTAATCAGTGGCACTTGAATCAGCATTGTTTAATCACATGAAAATAGATAACATAGAACCGACAGTAAATAAGAAATGATAAAAAAGAAAACAAAGGAGAGAAATAAATAAATAACAAACAAACAAACAAATATAAAAATATCAAGAAAGAAACCAATGGCATAAGCAGGACCGCAAATCGGCTTGAGGCTATAGACATGCATATTAAATCTGAAGCTGAATACGTGACGTCTTTTTACAAAATACTTTGGATGCATACCGATTGATACTTCAATAAGGGGGGAGAAGGGGGGTTATTTGTTAGTTGCAATTGCCTGTGAACCAGCTTTACGTAACTTCACCCCGCTTAGATCGGTAGCTTTTTTTTTTTGTTTTAATGCCAATTATTTGTACAAGTCAATTGATTAAGACATGTTTTACTAACTACTAGTAGGTCTTTCCACTTTTCTGTGGAAAGTACTTTTGCTTTTGTTCTGATTATTAGGTCTTACCACTTATTAGTGGAAAGACCTTTTGATTTTGTTTTTGGTCATAGTAGAGACCTATGAGGTCCTTGCTTGATGACACCGATATTGAGGTGAAGGTCAAACTTGAAGTTTTAGATTTTGACATTTGCTTTAACTTCATATTGATATATGATAAGGCAATGGAACCTTTTGCATTAGGATGCAACCCATATGACGTAAAAAAAAAGTCAACCGTAAGTGACCTTGTTTAAACCGGAAGTAATTTTTTTACAATGAATCAAAAGTATATAGAACCATATATTTTTGGAATCAGTGTCACGTAACTTATTGTATAATACCGGAAGTGACATTTTTTAACCCGGAAGTAACATAATATATCCCCTATTTAAAAAAAAAAGTGTTTAGAAACCATATATTTTTGGAATCGGCGTACAGTTAGCTATCATCTGACACCGTAAATGACATTTTAACCGGATTTTAATATTTTCATATCAAAATATATCGTTTCGGATGGAAAGACCTGCAATTGTTCTCTGAACAGTTGTTTAACGTTAGGTCTTTCCATTTTCCCGCGAAAAGACCCTTTGCTTTTGTTTTGATTATTATAAGGTCTTTCCACTTTTCCATGGAAAGACCTTTTGATTTTGTTCTGATCATTATTTTTTTTTTTCTTCCGCCTAATTTTTTCAGTATTGTTGTTTCACAAGCTGTCGCTTAGAAATTTTGCATATTATGTTGAACAGTGTATACGCTTTTAAAAACTGACACCGATTAACCAAACACTGTTCTTTGAAAGAGTTATTACAACATACGCTGTTTTTCTTGTGTCCACTACTCCTTCGCAACCGTAAAAGAAACTGACTAATTTGTTTTACCAAATTGCTAGTTATAACTTCAGAATAAGGATGATCATTTGACAGAAGCGATCCGGAAACTCCATTTGGAAGTTATTTCCCCTTATGCATTTGATTTAAATGAAATGCATTTGTAACTGGTAAACAATAAGTGATAGAAACCCAGGGTCTTTTGATTTCAGGTCTTTGGTCTATCAAACAGAAAATTAGGTCAAGGTCAAAGGTCAAAGTCATGTTCTAAATTTTGATTTTGGCTTATGATCACTTCTTTCTAAAAACCGTATGAAATATTGATAATTTATTTTACTAAATTGTAAGATGTAACATGTCATAACACATACATTTTGGTTGAAAGGGTATGCTGAAATTTAATGGGAGTTTTCTCCGCTCTTATATTTAATATTATAACTCCAAAAAACGTAAATTAAGCATTTATCTGACACCAGAATTGACATTTTTTTTCTCATCAGCACATGCATTTGAGTCGTAAAGACCTTTAATTGTTCTCTGAACAAACGGTTATATTTTTTTTTTCGTCTTATTTTTCTCTTGCGCTGTTGTTGTTTTTTTTTTCAAAAGATGTCGCTTAGATTTTTTGTATATGATATGGAACAGTTTATACGCTTTTGAAACTGACTACGCTTAACCGAGCACTTTACCTCGTAAGAGTTTTCTCTCCGAACACAGTTGTTTTTGTGTGCTCTATTTTCTTTGCAACCGTAAAAGATTACGACAAAACTAGTTTACCAAATTGCTCGCGTTATCCTTAGATTGTGAAGAAAAAATTTGATGGAAGTGATCTAAAGATTCCATACGAGAGTTATTTCCTTTCATGTATTCGACATAAGTGAAATGTAATAGTAACTCTTTAACCACAAGTGATAGAGATCTAGGGTCTTTTGATTTGAGGATCTAGGTCCACAAAAAGAAAATGAGGTCAAGGTCAAAGGTCAATGTAATCTTTAAATATTTTGCTTATTTTTGTGTGTGCTACTGCTTAGAAAGTGTGATGTATATTGACAAAAGAATTTCACCAAATTCTTAGTTGCAACATGTCGTAACAGAAATTTTTTCTCCGAAGCGGTCAATTACATTTACTTGGAGTTTGATCCCTTGAATGTTAAAAATAAGATGTATGGTACTATATCTTATGAACAATACAAAGTAGAGACCCAAGGTATTTTGATATAAGGTCCTTGTTTGATGACCTTAAATTTGAGGTCAAGGTCAAAGGTAAATTTAATGTTCTAGATTTGAGACCTTTGCTATTACTTCATATTGATATATGATAAATCCATAGGGTCTTTTGCATTTGTTAGGAACACACATGACCTTGATAAGGTTATCTGGAATGACCTTCATTAAACTGGAAGTAGCAATGTTTTGCATTAATTCAATATAATTATATCTAGAACCATACATTTTTTTAAATCAGCGTCAAGTGACCTATCATATAATACCGGAAGTGACATTTTTCAAAACGGAAGTAACAAATTATCTCTCTTATAAAAGATAAAGTAGTGTACAGAAACCATATATTTTTGGGATTGAAGTAAATCACGTATTCCATATCAAAATATGTGTGTTTGGCGATGGAAAGAACTTCAATTGTTTAATACTTTTCTTCGCCTAATTTATGTTCTTGTGCCGTTTTGCTGTTTAGCAAGATGTGGCTTAGAAATTTGGTATACGACATCGAACAGTTTATACGCTTTTGAAACTGACACTGCTAAACCGGACACTTTTCTTTGTAACAGTTATCTCCCCAAAAACGGTCTTTCTTTGTCCACTACTCCTTCGCAACCGTAAAAGAAACTGACAAATTTATTTTACCAAATTGCTCGTTATATCTTCAGGATATGGAGAATAATTTTGACTGAAATGATCCGGAGACTCCATATGAGAGTTATTTCCCCTTATGCATTTGATTGAAGTGATCTGCATTTGTATCTGGTAAACCATGAGTTATAGAGACCTAGGGTCTTTTGATTTGAGGCCCTTGGTCCACCAAACAGAAAATTAGGTCAAGGTCATTATTTTGATTTTAGCTTATTATCACTGCTTTTTAAATCGTATAAGATATCGGCACAATATGTGTATTTAAGTGTAAGTTGCGACATGTCGTAACATATACATTATGGTTGAAAGGGTACGTTGACATTTACTGGGAATTTTCGTCCAT